TATTTTTTTAATCTTTCAATGAGTGTTTTAACCTTTCTTAGGTAGAGCCTCATTGTAGGATAGTCACCAGCATAATCCTATATGACCTGATTAACTAGGAGTCTATAAGCATTGAGCCATCATTAATCAGTAATTCTTGTACATAGAGCTCTTTCGCGACTCTGAGATCTACCAAAAGTGCCTTGTACTTCGCTTCATTGTTGCTTTAAACTAGAGTTTTTGAGCCTGTTCGAGTGTGGAGTCGTCTGGCGTCTGCAACCATTCCTATGCCAGCTCCATTTATATTCGACGATCAATCAACATAAAGTTTCCAAAGGTAGAGATTTTCTTGGAAAGCTTTGGGTGCTTGTTGCATTCGTAGTATCTTGGGCTGCCGGTGTGAACTTAGCCACGAAGTCCGCTAGTACTTAATGTTTTAGTAATGTCCTAGGCCGGTAAACTATCTTGTGTTGTCCTAGTTCAATAGCCTATTTAGTAACTCTGACCAAGGCGTCAGGGCTGTGCAAGATCGCAATGGGTTATTAGTCATGTAGACCACTCTAAACAACTGGAAATATGGTCGGAGTTTTCTGGGTGCCGTTACCAATGCCAAGATGAGTTTTCCCATTTTCTGATATCTTGTCTCTTGTTCTAGAATAATGTTTGATATATAACATACCAGTTTTTTGCTCCCCCGTGTCTTCTCGAATCAGAGCTGCACTCACCGCACAGTCAGATACAGCCAGGTATAAGTATAAGTCTTCTCTATCAATTAGTTTGGACAACAACTGGGGTTTAGAGAGGTATTCTTTGAGCTTCATAAAGGCTTTTTTCGCATTCGTCAGTCTAAAGCAATCCCTTGCTCTTCTTTATCACTGTAAAGAATGGCTTACACTTGTTAGTGGATCATGAAAGGGACCTGTTGAAGGGTTGATGCTCGCCTTGTTAGGCTTTATGTTTCTTTCATAGCTCTAGGCGACTTCATTTCAATGATGGCCTTGATTTGGTCTATTTTGTATTAAACTCAGTATATCCTGGCATCAGAGATTTGCATCTTGACAACAAAAGCGCCATCGAGGAGAAAGTGGGCAGTTTCTAGTCTGGAGACCATGGGGGTCTTGGGGTGTTTTCCTTCTCGCATCATTTACCTTCCCTTCCGTGCCTTTTGGAAGTGTTCATGTTTTCCCACTATACGTTGACGCCAGAGAACAACCTCCCTCCTGCATACCAGGTAAGGGGTAAGCTTTAGGGGTTTTTTGGCCTCTCCTGGCGTACCTTTGAAACAAATTCTTGGGCCAACTTGCTTAGATGTTGACCTGTCACCCTTGGGGTAGCCTAAGTAGTCGAGTTTTTGAAACAAGCGATTATGTCTTTGATAATCTTCATCTTTTTGTCTTGCTTAGTAAGTCTTCCCCGTTCTATGGATCGCAAATTCTTTTGGAGATCCACTGTTCTAAAAATCCCACGGCCTAGGCGCTAAGTGGCTGGCCACCACCCTCATTAATGCCTAGGAGTTTGAAAATTAAGAAAGTGAGCTTAGACCTACTAAGGCGCCCGCCTAGATTACCAAGGCACTCGCCTAGTTTGCGGCTCACTTAGAAGGAAAATATATGACTTTCATTTTGCATTTTATTTTTTTTCAATGAATTGTAAGAGTCTTGTTGAATACTTAAATGAACACACATTATATGTATATTCACTATAATATATATGTCATTCTATTTTGTAGTTTATGATATATTTTAAGTATAAACACACTTATTTACACGAAATATAATAGATTTACTTAAATCCATCTAGTCCGCCTAGCCCCAGCCTACCACCCAACTAGTGCCTAGTGTCTTTTAGAACCATGTGGATATCCTTCATTGATGTGTGTATATTCAGTACACCATTGTAGACCTAATCCATAAAAGAGGCATCTTCTTTATTCAGGTTGGTGGCTTGACCATAAGGTGATCGTCTAGATATAAGTTCCATAGCATAGAGTGATATAGTCGAGAGGAATAAGAGTTCTCTCTCAATGAAAGTACCAATTGTTAGAGTCAAATTCGTGCACCGCCGTGAATGATGGTTATGCACAAACTCAAGCAACCTGCAAAACAGTAAACAACCTTGACCAAGCTTGAGGCCAGGGGGTGGGTGTGTGTGCTGGCCAAAGGCTTTCCAATGGTTAAGTTAGCGAATAGTTTTATACTCTAGCAGTGGGCAAGAGAATTAAAGTTTTTAGATTGCATTATCATAGATGAACCCTAGATTGGTGTACTTATACCTTAGGGAAAGAGACCTTTTTAGGATAGAATCCTGGTTCTAAGCCGGGAGAATCCTAAAGGATATTTAGAAGTAGATATTGCACCCTCTTAGGTTATGGTTACTTGAGGCGCACATCAATCCCTAGATTGTAGGAACTCCAAGACTTATAATGATCTGATTAGGTCTATATCAAGATCATATCGCATGTCTTAGGGAACAAGTATAGTCATCTGGCGAAATCGCTTAGACTCCGCCAACTACCCTAGAATAGGGTGATGGTGGCACCGCTATTCCGTCTAATCTAGCTCTGCCCAAAGCTAGTGAGTCCATGATCGGACGTCTGACATAACTATATTCAGATCAACCTTACTCTGGCCCTAAAAAATCATGGTCCCATATTGACCACCATTAACCATTGATCGTCGTTGACTATTGCTCACTAGTGTTGACCAACGATAAGGATTCAATCTCATTTATGCGAGATTAAATTCTATGACTATTAATGTAGTAAGGTTTTTTTAGTAGTTGAAATTGCCAAACAAACATTTTTTTAGCAGGTTACCCACGAGTAAATCTGTTAAAACTTCATTATTAGCAGATTCTTAAAGGGTAACCCGATAACGACCCCAATTGGTTAACGTGTTGATCTGAAACCTATTATTTTCATGTCGTTTTGTATTGAATTAACAAGTCATGCAAGAAATTACCAGGTCAAATTAGTGTTATGGTCTTATCACCCCAACTTTATCCTCACCTTGCATTCAAGCAAAACCATCATCATTCAGAAACCTTCTCGGTCTAATTTGTGAAGTCCCAATTTGTTTCAACCGAAAATAATTCTCCTATACAAAATCAGACTACCACTTATATAGGTAACAAATTGCAAACTAATAAAACAGGGATCAACTAGGTAATTTAGCTTAAGGTTCAAAACCCTACACAAACACGTTGATCGGACTTAACCCATTTCCAAAGCCTATTGTCTCGCCTACACAAATCACAACATAAATGACCTATCTTACATGCATTATATTTCCTAGTGTAAACGGTCATTTGTATAGGAGGTAAACTAGAAACTTCTTGTTGTATTATTGAATTGGAACGCAATGTAAAAAAATAATGTTTGGGTTAATATTTGAACTTTGGGTTGCAAGTGTGTGGGAGCCCAAAAACGCCAATTAAAGGAAGACTTGCCCGAGGCCCAGCATCAGCCCAAAGACAAATTGTTGCCTTAATGCATAGGCCATGTGCCTATGATTTAAGTGTCAAGTGATGGGGACTAACTCACAATCAACCAAAAAGCACTTTTCGGTGGCAATACAAGTAAAAAGCTGATGACTCACTACCCTTCAATTGCTTTCAGGCAGGAATAAAGCTACAGAAGTCGAGTTAATCTGCCTATAAAAGGAGGAAGAGGCCCCAGAGACAAGGACACTCAACCAATCAAACAAACAAATATGCAAACCTTGCTCTTAAGCCAGATTTGCATCTAAAAGCTATAATCAGCCCAGATCTCAATCCTTTTCAGGATCATTCCCCACAAAAGCCATCTTTTGTCTAGTTTAAAAGCTCTGCTATCATCCCTAGTGGCGTAGTATCGATTCCCTCGTGTAAACTTGTTTACCATCTATCCCTTCTTAGCATATAAACCCTGTAAACTCAAAAAAGAAGTGATTACAAGAAGTTCAACCTTGCCCGACAAGGTGAAATCTTGCTCAAAGCTCTTTGTTTGTTTTTATAAGTTAATAGATCTATTGCTTAATGTATTCTCTAGCATGTATTCAATTCATATTCATCTGTTTTCCTACTGCCTAGATCTAGTTACCTAAATGAATATGCCTATATTTAAAACCAATCTATAACCGAGTAGATGACTTAAGGGGATCTAGAGTCCTCTCACTTGAACATATAAGACTATGAACTGAAAGTCCTTGGTCACAAGGCAAGAAAATGAACTTAATGTGGACTGAACCCATCCACGACAATCCTTTGATAACAAGAAGTCCGAGTAACTTGAGGCGCAAGTAATCAACTAAAACATATTTGTTCTACATCTGCTATATTGAGGTAGTAGTGGCACGCTTGTCACTCAGTTAGCTTTGATTGCAAGCCTCGAGGCCTACACATAAGGCCCTACAAAGGCACATTTCAAAACTAACTCTATCCTCTTCTCGTACCACATTAGCAAGTAAGAGCCTGATTACACATCCAAAGTGCCAATCCCTTGAGAAGATGTGCTGAGAGCCGAGGAACCCTCTCCTGAGAAATCTTCGCCCCAACAAATACTACATCTAATAAGTAGTAATGACATTTATCATTGAACAAATTAACTTGATGAAATTGGAAAAATGAGAATGTAGTGACAGTAAGGACTTTATTTTTCCTTTCATTTCATTGTCCAACACACGATTCTTTATTTTTTATTTTTTAAAAAGAGACAACTGGTGGCAAGTCACAATTATCAACTCCTTTTGGGTTCGAAGAGGCTATTAGGAATTTCACCCTACCCAATAAAGCAGACTCACCAGCTCGCAAGATCGAACCTAAAACTTTCCACATTTTTTTTTACTGAGGAGTCGCAGTCCACGCCCTCCACTGGATCACTTGCTGTGATTCCCAAAACATGATTTTATCGCAATGTTTTAGAGCCCTTTATGTAAGTAATTTGACGTGGCAACATGTGGCATAGCAGCAACCAAAGAACAAAAACACGTATGTGTGCTCATCCTAACCACAAAAAGAAAGGATACAGATGTGGTTCATCCCAAGTTCGAATTAAACCCTTCTAATCCAATTCCTTTACATCCTTGGATAAACAATTTGTCATGGCACTCACTTTTGTCTCCCCGCTATCCATTAAATCCTTAACAAGTTGTTCTTCCAGTTCCAAGGCTCCTCCAGTTCGTCTATCATCCCTCTCCAACAAGCACTTTTCTGTAGTCTGTCAGATAGACCCTGCAAAGAGACACCATTTTCATGGTAACTACTACTTTTCTATAATCTCTAACCAAATGATTTTCACTCTCATTTTCTCCTGCTGCACTACCCTTCTGGTTTCTGTCTCTTGATTCGCCGTTGATTTATTCAATCAAGTGGCAAGAAACGAGAGGGGGAGTGCGAAGGGAGTTATAGGGAGCGTGGAAATCATTTCCCGATTTTTATTATGTCTTGTGTTCCAAGCATACTAGCTTACTGAATTGCCTTAAAAAGGTAGGTTGTTCCAACAAGCAAAACAAGACCAATAATGCAGAGTCAAAAAACTGGAAAAATATTGTTTCAGCAGCATTGGCCGCTGCAGTTATTAGCTTTAGCTCTGGCAATATGCCTGCCATTGCTGATCTCAATAAATTTGAAGCTGAGACACCTGGTGAATTTGGAATTGGATCAGCAGCCCAATTTGGATCTGCAGACCTCAGGTGATCACTCCTATCTGTTTTCGAAAGCTGTTTGTTGTAACCATTTTTGGGTTTTGAATAGTGGGTTGAAAAATTCCCTTCCATATTCTTGTTTTGCAGGAAAGCTGTGCATGTGAACGAAAATTTCAGGTAATTTTTAATCTCTGAATGATTTAGTCCACAATTTAAACAGGTTTTGTACCGATACGGATGTAAGGGAAATAAGTAAGATTATTTAGTATCTGCATTTTCACATCAATGTAAACCGACCTTTACAGAAGAGCCAATTTCACATCTGCGGATATGAGGGAATCTGATTTCAGTGGTTCAACTTTCAATGGTGCATACATGGAGAAAGCTGTTGCATATAAGGCAAATTTCGCAGGTAAGAACATCGCATTATACAAATGAATCGAAATCCCAACATGAACAATTGAATGACTAGAAGCATAGTTAGTTCATTTCCATTGAAGTTATAGCTGTCCTTCCCGGAATGTTAGAAGACAGAAAAAAATCCAAGCTGTTTTACTCGAGCAATATGTGTAGTAACTCCCTGTATATCAGTAAAAGCAAGACGTGTAGGCGAATCTACTCGTCAAGTTCCCCATTTAGGCCATGTATAATATGCATGACCATACTAGACTTGAAGGACTAATGAGGTTAGGTATATGTTTTAGACATCAACCTCTTACTTTATATTAGTCCATTTTAATCCTCCACGTTAGAAAAACATCTATGGTACTTGATTTCACATGAAATCTAGTTATTTTATCTCATCTAATTTTGTCTAGTCGTGCATATCAATCACGGGAATCAGATTACTTTCCTAGTACTTCAGACACCATCTTCTGTTTCTACACCAGTTATCTTGCTTCCCAAACTTTCAGTTTTAAAATTAGCATTACTTGAAAGCCTTCTTGTTTTTTGCATATGAAATCGTTTGTCATTCGCCATTGGAACTCTATTCAATTCGTTTTTGGAGAGCCTCCATTGAATTCTGAACGTAGAGTGTTCGCTGCTTTGGCAAATTGTTTCCCAGAGCAAACAGGAAGACCTGTAATTTGTTACCAAAGCATAAAGACAACAAAAAAGAACCTCGCTTAACAATGCATGTTTGCTTATCGTGATCCAGGATCGGTATCGTTTCTACGATCCTTTTGCATATTGCCGTAGAACTAAACAGATTTTTCACGACTGTACATATAAGAAATCTTATATTTGTCAATTTCTTTTGACATTTCACAGGTGCGGATTTGAGCGACACATTGATGGATCGTATGGTATTGCCTGAAAGCCGAGCATAAACTCTCAAGCATTTAACTTTGCCATGTTTTTAGGCATTCTTTTGAGAGTAATCTTAAGAGTTAGCTGAAACAATACCTTGTTTCAATTCCATTGCTCAAGAACTATAATGATCGCAGGTCCTTAATGAAGCTAATCTCAAAGACGCCGTGCTAGTTAGATCGGTTCTCACCCGCAGTGATCTCGGGGGTGCCCTCATTGAAGGAGCTGATTTCAGTGACGCCGTCTTGGACCTCCTCCAGAAGCAGGCACTGCATATTGCTCATGTCCAATTAGAACATATTTTCTTCAAAATCAGAACCTTATCCTTCAGTTTTCTCCAGCAGTAACGTTGTCTTGTTTAGCATGCAAATTCCTACTAATTCTAGAGTTTGTTCATACAGGCTCTTTGCAAGTATGCAAGTGGGACCAACCCAACGACAGGGGTGAGCACAAGAGCAAGCCTAGGCTGTGGGAACAGTCGCCGAAATGCTTATGGCAGTCCCTCTTCCCCTCTGCTAAGTGCTCCGCCTCAGAAGCTGCTTAACCGGGATGGATTCTGTGATCAAGGCACTGGTCTTTGTGATGTAAAATGATAGCAAGGCATGTTAATCAGTCCTATAAACGCCATTGATCATATACCATATCCTGTATTGATATCCATGTGAGGAAAATGAAAATGCAGAACCAAAACAACTGTACATCCAAACATCACAATTTCTGTATGCTACGTGCGAACTGAATTGTACATCCATGTGCTAACCCGAATATCCATGTTAATCGGTCGTACAAACGCCATTTATCACATGCGCGCAAACTGTATATACCACATCGCTACTGTATGCTACAATTCAGAACATAACATCTGAAGTAACACGAGTCGCAACTTCAGAATCCCAAAAATCGGAAATCTCACCCGAACGAAACACCATAGACATGTTTGAAAGTAGTTTTGAATGGTTTAAAGTCTTCTAACAACTTTCAAGAAGTACATTGATTAAGTTCTCTAATGATTTCTAGAATATAACGTGGATTTTGGGTGAAAAAGTATCAAGCTTCTTACAAAAGCACTTTTAAGATGAAAACCCAAAATCAAGCCCGTCCTTTCTGTGAACTGTGGAAGACTATAAATGAATTCGGAAGGACGTATGTACCTTTTTTGTAGAAGTTTGAATCTCGACACGCTCCTACAAACACGAACAATTGCTTTGATCCTTTGTGTACGTCTAGAAGCTCGAAGATCATCGGGTTGCCTACAGTATATAGAGTTGCCCCTTGGTTTTCGCCTCCCAAGACCTAGGGCTGAAGTGATAGCCCTAGATACCTAACTAGAATATTTGAACTTTGGAAAAGCTTGTGTTTCTTGTGTTGTTTCTCTCGTTTCCCAAGTCTTCTTATATAGTGGTTGGAAAGAGGATTCAACGACTAAAAATACCCATAAAAATTCCAAGCATATTCTAGTCTGAATTACTCTTGATTTCCTTATGTGGGTGAAATATCCATTTAATGTTTGAAAGTAGTTTTGAATGGTTTAAAGTCTTCGAACAACTTTTGATAGAAAAACTTAAAAAGTACTAATTCAAGAAGTACATTGTTTAAGCTATCCAATGCTTTTCTAGAATATAACTTGGAAAGTATCATGTTTGTTACAAAAGCAGTTTTAAGATGAAAGCCCAAAATCAAAGCCCGTCCTCTTTGTGGACAAAGTTTCTTGGGCTGGTCTGTACATCAAGATGGAAGCCCAAAATCAAACCCCGAACCCGATTTGGGTTAACACCCTACGGCTCCACGAGCCCAAGTCGAGTGCATATTCGGGTTAACACCCAAACTGTAATAAATATTCCAAAAATTAAAGTAAGTGTGATGACATCATTGGAGGCCAACTCAACTACAGATGGGCGAATATAAGAGAATCTGATTTCAGTGGTTCAACTCTCGATGGTGCATACATGGAGAAAGCTGCCGCATACATACGAGGAAACTCTGCAAGGAGAGTTTCCTTGCAAAGTGAATGACTACAAGTATTAATCGAAATCCCACTATGAACAAGTGAATAATCGAAATCCCACTATGAACAAATGAATGACTACAAGTATAAATAGCTTTAGCTACTTATCATCCAGTATATATTTGCGTCCGAAACACCGGTACATCCAAACTTCACAGAACCGTAACTATGCAACACATTTGAAACAGCAGGCATCAGTTGATGGTTATGATCATATCGTGAAAAGAAATATATCGATGAGGAAAAAGTTTACATTCTCTTGTTCACGCAAGCACGTATATTGAAAAACTCCAGCTAATTATGGCAACCAATCTATCAGAAAGTTCGATATCAACATCAATTTATATCGGGGCAGCCACGAGTTCCTTACCACAACACAACAAACTAAACAAATCCAAAGATGAGAACCAAGGAAACTAGCAAATGAACCACTTTAGCATTTCATAGCAAATGATATGTTACACAATTACAAAACCACGTCACTTACCGTAAACTGTACAATTCAGAAGACAGTATCTCAAGTATGACAAAACAGAGAACAAAGACATCTGCACAGTAGACAATATCAGTTTCAAGGAAGAGTGGGAACTCTTTTAGTAGGACTTTGCAAAAATAGCTACTTCCTCTGCACCGTTACCAGTCATCAAGCATGTTTTAATCCCTTCCGGCTGTTCAAAAGGAAAACACCTAATGGTTGCCCCTGTTTCTTCTTTTACTTTTAACTCATCTTTGTCACTGCACCAATTATTGGAGATGCATATTAATAACAGAAACACAATTCACCCCAGCTAGCATACATAATAAAGCGAATCAGTCAATTATTAAAATAAGCCAGGGATAAAAATACCTAGCCGACCAAGGACCTCTTGCCCATATTCCCTGGGAGATTGCAACTTTGAGTTCGTCATATGAGCTGACATCCACAATATTACTGCAAAAAAAAAACAAAAAAAAACAAAAAAAAAAAAAAAAAGTCTTCTGGTCAATGCCTACATAGTTTTTCCAACGAAGTGCAAAAGTAACATGTGTTAAGGTCATACAAAGGAGAAAACATCTTAAGACTAAAGAGAAGTAATGCGTGTTACCATCAATTCTTTTTAGAGAAATGACTTTCACGCACCCTTTTTCTCTCCTACACACACCTGTTTATTTCTGGCCATTGGATTGAATAAATCAAGAGACAGAAAAATAAGCAGGGGTGTGCAGAAGAAGAAACTGGGGTGTGAAAAATCACTTCCCTTTTTACTACTAATGTTTCATAATATTCTATGCAAGTAGCATCTTAAGACTATAAAGAGTAACTGACAATGGAGCCAGAACACACCTATCTCGGAATGATTTTGCTTTTTCCACAAGTGATGACTGGATCTCATCCAACTTGTCCTTGACATAAGCCTTCAAAACCGAGGGCTCCATTGATATTCCGAAGACTTTCCCTTGTTTTCCAGGAACATCTCTTCTACATATAACCAGTCTGGCTTGAAACATCACGAGGGCCAATTTCAATTCTTAAAGGGACTCCCTACAAAATCAAGGGGTGTTGACGAGATAATTGACAGTAAGACAACATTGTCAGGCATTCATTTTTATCTTACAAGAATAGATCCAATATATTATTTGTACCTGCACCAGAATAAGTACCTAAACTCACCGAAAATATACATTCAATCTTGACCAATGCCAGTTTAAGAATGAGAAAAGGTAGATTTTATTCATACAAGTGTCCGGCGAACATCCCAGTGTTATCTCAGGCAAGTCAAGTCAAGCAACAAGAATGAAGAGATGGCTAATAGATGATATCATTTCAACTCATCTCTCCGAGAGCTTGTAAATATAAAAGATGCTCGAGTATAAGAATGAAATAAACCTTCATCTCCCAGAAATTGAATTTCCATCCTGGGGTTCTCTGATCAGAGTCATCGAGTTTAACTCTAATGTCTGCAGTCTGCAATGCTTCTTTTACGGATGATGCAGCATTCAGAACTCCTCTATCATCATCCTTCTTCCAAATTGGTGTGATCACCACCTAGAAACAACCAATGATGTTTTTGAGAAGAAAGGGCATGCATGCCAACAAACTGGGCACGTGAAAGTTTGAAACACTCTAAACAATGACAATAAAATTGAACTTTAACAAGGCATCCATTCTTAACAGAACAAAGAATACTACAACTACATAATTTTTTAGAGTGGGAGAAATAGCAATCCAACTACTATACATCAGAAGACCAAAAGAAAGATTAATTTGTCCCAAAATTTTCTCAGCCAAACAACAAACTATACATTACAAAGTGGACAAATACAGAATCTGGATAAAGAATCTCAAGCAGAAGGAGCCATACATTGATGGATTAGATGGCCACATCCATAGATAAGCCATCATCCATATGCTATTTTATTAAGCAATAACAAAAAGAACCAAGTCCATGAAGTTTTCACATGTCAAACCAGAGTTTCTTGGATTGCAACGAATAAAAATGGAATGTACTTTTTCTCTCTATACTCAGAAATTTCCAATATGTGAGATACATCTTTGAAATTTGCTTTACAATAGCAAGGGGGCAAAGAATAGACAACATTGCTTATCTAGGATATATTCTATAACAAAAAGAACCCAGTCAGTGGAGTTCTCAGTTGTCAAAACAGAGTTTGTTGCATTGCAACGTCTTGAATGGAGTGTACTTTTTCTCTTCCAAGCTGTGAGATACACCTTTGAAATTTGCTATATAATAGTGAGACGAAGAATAGACAAAATTGCTTATCTAGAACATATACTATAGTTAGATAACTTAGACAACATCAACATTCTTATGCTCATATTCGCATTTAGTCAGTTCACATCCATTGCATTTGCAGAATATAAAGTAGCAATGATCAAATGTCTATAAATAGTAGTTTTAAGTTTAACCAAAGTAAAGAAAAGTTTCCAGCTATCCTCAGTCTACAACAGCACATTATTCCCAGAAAGCAGAAATTATAATGACATTTATGTATAATAGATGTATTTCAAAAAAAAAAAAAAAAAAAGTCTTGAACTATAGACAGTCTTACTGCAGCTTTGGATACATATCCATATAAGCAAAGCACCAACTTTAGGAATATGCATTAGCAACACAAAATGCATAAAGGTCTCCAACTTTAGCTTACCTGTATTGGTGCAATCTTTGGGGGAAGCATTAAACCTGTATCATCTCCATGGGTCATGATAATACCACCAACAAAACGGGTACTAACTGCCCCAGAAGTCTGCCACACATGTTGCCTCTGTCCACTTTCACCAGTAAACTTTGCAAGCACCCATTTTGGTCAAATGGGTCATGTACAATTAAAGCATACTAGACCAGTAGCCAATCAACACAAAAAAGTTATACAAATTGAAGACTATAAAAAGGAGAATTAAGATCATATAAATGAGGTTTTGATTTGTTGAAGCATTTGAAATAAAACAAAGAACCGCACTAGCATATTTAAATACCTGTGTTCCAAAGGCACGAGAGAAGTTCTGCCCAAGATTGTGGCTGGTGCCAGCCTGTAGTGCCTTCCTATCACCCATCATAGCCTTCTATTGTATAGGTCCTAACAGCACCAGCAAATGTTTCAATTTTTGACTTTCGACCTGCAATAACAGGTATTGCAGTTTCCTCATAAGAAAAAATGGTACTCATTTCACAACTGGTTTAGAAGCAGTCGTTATGTCAGAAGCAAACCTCTTTCTCTGCCTCCTCTGGAGTAGCATGAGC